ACCGATCCGGTTTTTAACCATTGCTCTTAAGTGATCCCTTAATTGAGGGTGATTTAATTTTATTTGAAAGAATTAGAGATTTATAACGAGAATCCTCAAAGCACATGAGGGACGACAGGCTCTCAACTTTGAATGAGAAAAGTAAAATCCAAGCATTTCCTCAAATTTGAATGAGAAAAGTAAAATCGAAGCATTTCGTCAAGTGCCGTGACACGAGTAGTGAGTTCATAGTCATGATTTAAAATTCCGAACGCGCACTTGGCGTTGTCATGCTCGCACGTGCCATGTCCACTTTGTCACTCGGGTGTACCACGTAAGCTTTGTTGGGTTCGATGCCAACAGGTTCTCTTTAACTGCGTAACTCGAACACGTGCGAATAATTCCTATTCCAATCCTCAACTTTTCGAATATTCCGATTTCCCCAAGGGAATGAACCCCTTTCCCTCCCTAAGATGAGGTGGAGCATCGCTCTCTCTCTCTCATCTTACTCTTTTTCATCTCTCCTATCCATAAGAGGTGGCAATGGGCCTTGGCCTTGGCTCGGCCCTTGTTCCCGTAAGGCCGGCCCTAGCCCTGTTTGGGTTGGGCTCGCCCGGGCACAATTTGTGGCACAAGCCTTCTACCCTTCATTTTTCGGCCAAATCCATATTGCGGGGTATCATCTATCTTACCGGTGGCCGATACCGCACAGCATTATTCTCTGCAAGTCTCTTAATGTCTTATGCTTTAGATCCATTTCCGGCTATTCCATTTTGGCTATTCCATTTTTTTATAAAGTAGATACCATTATTATCATTATCTCCTTCTTGATTATTATCATTTTATTTTATCTTCTAGTGGACAAAGTATATTCAGCATTTAGAGGATGCACTAAAGTTGAAATTGAAGGCATTTTGAAGATCTACAAGTTTTTTATACACGAGTTTTTCGCAAATTCGATGTTTCGAACCTCAAATTCTAGTTTAAAAGCAAGCTAGAAAAATTTGGGATGGATTTCCTTTAAATGGTGTGGTAGGTTACTTTCTTTTATTTTATGTATAATTTATTGGGTTAATTGAAAGTTAGGTTCGACTCTTGCTTCGATTAAGTACTTTTAAGCTAGATAATTTTCTAGAGTTTTTATTAATACGTTTTCTTTAGGCGACGGCAAACCAGTTAGGGAACAGTCATATAAACCCAAAACCCTTACAACACCATTAAATATTAAATTGATTTGAATACCTCATTTTATTAATTTTTTTTTTCTCAATCCTAACTTAATAACATCCCGGCCCTTTTATTTTGTACCGCGCGTCTCAATCCATCGAACGTCAAAAAGAAGTGGATAGAAGATGGCAGCCATTATTGGGAAGAAGAATCACTATCTTTGATGGCGACAGCGACCAAAAACATAAGTGGTGGGGCTTAAACAATTCCAAATTCTGATAATGTGCGACTCCAACTTTTAACGCGGTGGGATTCTCTTGCCATATTGTAAGTGTCGCCTGCTCTGCATTTTTCTACGTTGTGTTCCTCCGATTTTATATAAATAGGCCTTCAAGGGACTGTTTCAGCCAAGTATTCGGTTTCAGGCTCTTCTTCATTGTTTAATTTCAATTAGGTATGACTTTGTTCTTGTCGAGCTTTTTCTCTCACTGATTTTTCCTCGTGTCGAATTTTCTTGGTTTTTTTAAGCTTCTTGAATTTTGATTTTGCTCATGATTCTTTGGCTGTAAAAGTTCTGGTTTGGCTTTGTTCATGTCGAACCTTTTTGTATTCTCTTTGCATGGCCTTTACTTCCTTTTTTCATGTATCTTTCCTCCTATTTATTAGTATTCTTGTGGTTTATTAGTGCATTTCTTTGTTGTTTTCCAAACAATGGCTTTGGCTTGAATATGGGTTTTGCTGATGATTCTTTGTCTGTGGGTTTTGGGTTTCCAGACCAGTCATCATGTTTGTGCATTCTAAGACTTTAAACTTCATTTAACCCAAAAAAACTTTAAAACTTCATTTCTTCTGTCTCCTGTTCTTGGGTTTTTTAAGCTTCTTGAATTTTGATTTGGCTCATGATTCTGTGGCTGTAAAAGTTCTGGTTTGGCTTTGTTCATGTCGAACCTTTTTGTATTCTCTTTGCATAGCCTTTACTTCTTTTTTACATGTATCTTTCCCCCTATTTATTAGTATTCTTGTGGTTTATTAGTGCATTTCTTTGTTGTTTTCCAAATAATGGTTTTGGCTTGAATATGGATTTTGCTGATGATTCTTTGGCTGTGGGTTTTGGGTTTCCTGACTAGTCATCATGTTTGTGCATTCTAAGACTTTAAACTTCATTTAACGCAAAAAAACTTTAAAACTTCATTTCTTCTGTCTCCTGTTTGGCCTTTACTTCCTTTTTTTCATGCATCTTTCCCCCTATTTATTAGTATTCTTGTGGTTTATTAGTGCATTTCTTTGTTGTTTTCCAAATAATGGTTTTGGCTTGAATATGGGTTTTGTTGATGATTCTTTGGCTGTGGGTTCTGTGGGTTTTGGGTTTCCTGACCGGTCATCTTGTTTGTGCATTCTAGGACTTTAAACTTCATTTAACCCAAAAAAACTTTAAAACTTCATTTCTTCTGTCTCCTGCCCTTTTTTATCTTCTTTTTTTTTTTGATCTTATCTTACATTTTGGGGTTTTAATTTTCTTGGCTACCTACAGCTAGGATTGTCAAGCATGGATTCAGTTGACAGATCAAGTGAACCCAAATACGAGTGCCTCCTTTTCGGTATGGTCTTCTCCATTCCTTTATAATTTTATATAAGATTGTTTCAATTGCTCTTGATTGCATATAACATTTTATTTATTTCTAGGAACCATCCTATGGGTGATTGCATGTCTTATATATTCACCCCAAGCTTCACTTTGAATGAATTATGATGTTTCAGATATGGATGATACCCTGTATTCCCTAAGTTCTGGTTTGAACTTGGCCTGCCGCAAGAACATTGAAGGTTTGTCCAGTAATTTCTGAAAAATTACAAACTTATATTTTTTACACATTTTATAGAATGTATATTTCAGTACTACACGGCAATGTATATTTCAATACTACACTGCAATTGCAATATTATATGGGCAATCATGATATTAAATTGGATAAAAATATGTAATTATTTCTAATTATGGTATTTGTGTCTGTTAATTTTAGAGTACATGCTGCAAAACCTTGGCATTAACGAAAATGAGGTCCCAAAAATGTGCCTTGATCTGTATAAGGAGTATGGAACAACAATGGCTGGTCTCAAGGTATTGAAGGCTTTGATCCCTTGTTTTCATATCTTTCATTTACAAAACAAAATATCTGTATGAGCGCATGGGTCGCTGGAGATTTGAAGACTGTATTAAACTTTTGCTAATTAATTGGTTTTTTTCCTCTTTATTTGTTGGCAGGCCCTGGGGTATGAATTTGACAATGATGAATTTCATCAATACATTCATGGAAGGTTGCCGTACGAAAAATTGAAGCCTGATCCTTTTCTTCGCAGCCTGTTACTCTCCATGCCTCAAAGGAAAATCGTACGTAAAAATTCTAACTTTGCAGACTTATGATTTCTATCATTTTCTTGCAATTGATTTGTGGCCTGCCTTATTCTTCAATTTGAAAAAGCAATATGGCATAGATAAGAAAATTTTGAGCTCATTTGAAAAAAGGTTAAAAAAAAGTTGTCCTTTTATTTTCATCAATGTAATTTAAATTCAAAGGAAGTGTTCGTGTTTTGATCAATGTTCCGCTCTTCACTCATCAACATGGAGTAAAGATGGTTCTCAATTAGGTGGGGCCATTTCTCTCAAACTGTTGTAGGCCCCTGATTGTCAATGTTATTCATGATTCTGCTACTTCGTAACAATTTTAATCTAGTTTACTTGTAGAATGCAGAAATGGACAAGTCGTCATATTTTTCAAATAAAAGATCTTCAAAATATAATTTCATCAACTGAAGCATTCTTTAGAGTGTTACAAGAATTACTAAGTTCCATAATTTTAGATATTCTATTTACGTATTTCCATATCCTTTTGTTTGTTTTCTCTGCAGATATTCACAAATGCGGACAAGGCTCATGTTGCCAATGTTCTGGCTAGACTAGGCCTGGAGGACTGTTTTGAAGGAGTCATATGCTTTGAGACGCTTAACCCACCTGTGGAATTCACTGAAGAAAATTCATATGGTTTTGAATTTTTAACCAGTGATATTCAAGTTGAACCCAAGAGGCTAAGCTCTTTAGTGGATGAAAATTTTGATATTTGCGAATCAAGCAAAATCAGCCTTCCCAAATTGCCAATTCTCTGTAAACCATCTGTAGAAGCGTTTGAAGCTGCCATACAGATTGCAAATGTCAATCCCAAAAAAACAGTATGTTAAATGCTAAAGAAACCTGTAAGAGAAAAAACAGTCTTATTTTCTTGCTTCTAAAATCTGTGTGTGTGTGTGTGTGTGAGAGAGAGAGAGAGAGAGAGAGAGAGAGAGAGGAGGAGGGAGGGAGGGAGGGAGGGAGGAAGGTAGATATTTGGCTTATTTTCTGCTGAGGGAGGGAGAGAGGGAGATATTTGTCTTATTTTTCTTTCTGCTTTCTCTTTGACATGAGAGAGAGGAGGGAGGGAGGGAGGTACTTTTCTTATTTTCTTGCTGCTATCTCTATAACATCCTTTTTTGTGTTACAGATTTTCTTTGACGACAGTGCTCGAAACATAGCTGCTGCAAAGACTGCAGGCCTTCATACTGTGCTGGTGAGCTCTTCTGTTTCCAATATCTCCACATGGATTTATTTTTATGGACAGAAATTAACCATGGTCATATTCTATGGATTAAGATGTCTAAATCAGCATTCTGTGACTCGCCCAAGTCCACTCGGACTCAGACGAGTTCCTCGGCAACTTGCCCCACCCTTGTAAATGTAGAAAAAAAATGTATAATAATTGGGGCATACCACTGTATTTGTTAGAAACAAGTTTTAGATGACAGATGATTTGAGCAGTTCCATATTTTTGACCCTTTTAAAAATTTTTCTGAAATATTCAAAATCTAAATAAAAAATTTTGATAATCCATATTTTATAGATGTTTTTCATCCTTTTAGTGTTCTAATGCTCTCTATTACCTCTTTTATTTTTTATTTTTTTTTTAACTATTTTTGAAAAAATTTACCCCTTTTTTAACCTTTTTTGGTTGTATGTGACTCGGCCAAGTCCACTCGGACTTAGCCGAGTTACTTGCCTTGGCCAAGGGCGGAGTAGCTTGGCCAAGACAAGTTTCTGAACCTTGGTCTAAATTATCAAGAATTTCAATTGTGTTATAGTCATTAGACTTCAGCATAATTCGATATAGCCTGTTATTTACATTAGTTAAACGAGTCTATGAGCTACACGGTTAGAGCTAAAGAAGTTGGCTGCCCTCATTGGTTCTCTTTCTCCTCATTATCTCTCTCCTTCTTCTCCACGTGGGAGAGAGATTTCTGTCTTCACTTATTTCTTGGTTATTTTGTTTCGCTCCTTTATTTTATTTTTGGTATGCAATTTTATTTGTCTCGTTTCATTCCTTGTCTTTCATTGGATCTAGAGTCCGCTCACTTGCATAGAATGATGAGAGGGAAAGAGAGATATTTTGGGCTCTTTTATCTGTCTGCCATTTTGTTCTCTCTTCTTCCAATCTTCCTCTTCCAGTGGAATTACAGGCTCTAGTATCATGAATTGATATGCAAAGCTTGCATGATTCAGGTTGGTGGCTTGGTAGTAGTACAAGGAGCAGATGTGGCACTGACAAGCATCCACAACATGAGAGAAGCACTTCCTGAGATTTGGCTCTCAGAGGAAGAGAAAGAAGAAGAACAGGCCGAGCTCCTTTACCCTGCAACTCCCATCGAAACCTTCGTCCTTGCTTAGCTAGGCAATTGCCACCGTATATACATGACAAGATCTGATGGATAGGATCCAGCATACATACATACATAACAAGATCTGGATAGGATCCAGCATTAGGATTACAAGATTGAATGGAAAGAGTCCATACTGGTGTTTTCTGGTTTATATGTAGTTAAGATATAGCCATTAGTAGAGTAGCAATTGATGTGCTCCCCCCTTGTACAATGAGGGGCATATAGTTGTGAAATTGTGATGAAGCATCGGATAGAAAGAAAAGAATCATTTCAAAACGATCTTCCTCTCCTTTGGCTCTCTTTTTTTTTTTCCCTGTACTTTTCTCCTCCTTCCATGCTTATTTGTTTGAATGGTTTGTTACCTAATTTTCATTCGACAGATGAAATTGGTTTGTCACCTTTTTTTGTTGTTGTTGTTGTTGTTGTACCTTTCTCCATCTTCCATGCTTATTTTTTGTGTACTGTCAAAATGATCCTCCTCTCCTTAGGCATGGACTGAGTCACAACTTGCAACCAAAATATTTTTTTGCTTTTGTTTTGTTTTGGTTTGGGTTCAACCCTCAACGATGTTGAACTTCTAATTGTGCCAGAAAGTATGCTATCTTTAACCAATATCAACTGTCTATTCCCATAGATTGATGGCTGGGATTTAGTTGTACCCGGGGGAATACCGTATGGGCTCCACTCTGAACTCTATCCATCAGTGATCATGGGCAATGGATATAGCCTTGGTTCCCCTATGGGGGGTAGATATTTTTTTGTTAGAAAATCGTGGACTATTATGCTCTGGCACTACAGTATGAATGTGTGGTCGTGTGAGCTCCTTTCCACTAACTCATTTCTCAATTGGTTGAGCATCTTTCATCTTTTTTGAAGTAGCTCTCTCTCTCTCTCTCTCTCTCTCTCACAGCGCAAATAGGTGTTTCTGTCTCAATTGGGGTATAAATGGTCCGGGCAGGCCCAATACAAACCCGACCTGACAAGTCTAAGTTCAGGTCCGAGTTCGGTCAGGGACAAAATATATAAAAGAAAAAAAAGAAAATGGTTTAATGGGGTTATCACTCTATTAAAATAAGTAAAGTCTCACCTCATAACTCATTGAAAATTGCAATTCAAGTATTGAAAAACCTTTACATCGATTATTTATATTATGTTTGTGAAAAAAATTAGGATTTAAAGCTTTAAAAGGAATGTATATTGCAACAAATTATCTAGGTCGTCTATTTCGCAGTATTTATAGATTTGCAAGATTTGTTCCTTTTTTTGAGTTTCAAATTTTGTTGTTGGTGTCGAAAATTGATTTTAGAGCTATTATAGAGATTTTTGTTGCCGTACTTTCTAGAGAAGGATTGTAGGGCTTTATTTTGTTTTCATGGAGCTTAGGCCATATTTATATTTTAAAAATAACTAGGTCAACTTGGGCTTCTTTTAAGTATAGGTGTGGTTTCCATAAGTAAACAATCCAACTAAGGTGCACTTTCAAATTTTATCATAATATATAATTTTGATGTAAAATGTTCTTAGGATTGTTTCAAAATCTAATTTTATATCTAATTATAAAATTTTAAATTTCAAAAGTGGTTAAAATCAAGTAAATCTATATACATATGAAAATCTTGAAAATGGACAGTGTAGATAATATGTTGTAAGATGCACTATTTCTGAGACTCAAAATCTTTTTATTTTTCATAGTCATATATCCCGATGTCGAGATGATCAATCATAAGGTTTTTCAACATTAAAATAACATTTTCTGATGAATTTTTGAGGTGCATCCGGAGTTGTACATTTTAAGGTTGCGACCTTTTTCCATTAAGTATTTCAGCAGGGAAGGGGTCGATGGATTTCAAGGCGTCACTTTTAGATAGTGTTGCATAGACCCCGATAAGGGTCTCGGTGTCCAATATGATTGGGGTGCAGATCCGTACAATTCTCAAAGATGATATATTATGTGTAATTATTTAGCTGTCCATATTGGACATCAACTCAACCAAGATCAAATTCCCTCTTGAGCAGATCTTTTAATCAAATAGAAGAGGGAAGCTATGGTAGAGGGAAATTTGTTTTAATAGCAATGGTAATCCTTGACCTCTTTTTGCTAGATAGATTTCTTCTTAGTTAATAAGATAGATCGGCCATCATGTAATGACTATAAGGTTATTTCAGGAGAGAATTTATTTGCCTAGTATAAGCTTGTGACTATGGACATTTGCATAAAGAGATGGAAGAGGAGTGAAATTATAGGTGTCCAAAAACTAGATGGTGAAATTTAAACAATGGAAAAATAAATTTATTTAGAGATAAATTAGTTAAAGAGGGAAAATAGAACTCTGTAAATGAGGTAAATGTAATGTGAAATGAGATAGTTGACTGTATTAAGAAAGTGGCAAAAGAAGTTTTAAGAGAAACTAGAGGGAAAATAAATTTTGATAAGGAAACTTGGTGGTGAAGTGATGAGGTTGAGAAGGCAACTAACGAAAATGATCATGTTATACAACTTTGCAATGTAATAGAAAATATCAAAACTTAGAAAAATATAGAAATACTAAGAAAAATACTGAACAAATAGTAAAGAAAGCTAAACTTAAGATATATGATAATTGGTACAATAAACTACGGATAATAAAAGGTGAAAAACATGTCTTGAAGATCAAGGGGGCGAGTACTCGGTCCATGCTCGATCCAAGTACTTGGAGTTGAGATGATGGGAGAGCTTGGGGAGGAAGCTAGTGAGGATGATGGGTTTGGTGCTCCAGTGGTGTCGGTGAGGTTTGATTTATCAGAAAGTTTGCTTTCAGGTGCGAAATTCCCAATTTTGGGTTCTTTCTCCCCCCCTTCAAATAATATTTTTGGCTTGAGTGATTGGGTTAAAAGGGGATGGGGATTATCGTATGCACCGGAGGTAAATATTCTGAGGGAGAATAAGATTGTGTTATTTATGTGTGCCAAGGATGAAGCGTTGGTGGTGTTAGAAAATCGATTTGCTAGAATTAAAGGAAAGCTTTTGTCGTTAGATCTATGAAAAGCTTCGTCCCATTTATCCTACTTGTGGAAGGAGAGTTAGTGGATAGGTTGTCAGGTATTCCTTTTCATACTTGGAGGATAGATACGATCAGAAAGTTGGCTAATAGTTGTGGGGAGTTTTGTGATGTTGATAAGAATTCCTTTTGTGGGGCTGATTTAAGGTGTGAGAGTCTGTATCTAAAACTTGCGTGGGGCCTCTATTCCCAAAATGGTAATATTACAAGTGGGTCAAGAATCATTCTCTATTAAGATATCCATAGAGGTTAAGGGCGTGAATAAGGTTCTTCCAGAGTTTGTCTCTGAACAACGTATGGAAGTCGATGGATGGAAGGTGGTTTCTCACTGCTGTCTTGTTGCTCCGGTGGTGAAGGCTCAAGCAAAACTTAGCAAAGTAATTCCGGTGGATGATCACCAGAATTATCCGAGTTGGCACGGTCGATGTAATAGAAAAGTTCAGTTAGGAAAGATGGGAATTCAAAATTTGAAAATTCGGAAATGTTGGATTCCAGTGGGTCGTTTTGCGGAGAGTATGACACGTTTTTCGACTTCTACTATGCTGAACGTTTCTTCGGGTGGTGAGGGTCTACGGCACTCTGACGATCGGGAGGGATCACCAATTTCTCCAAATGTTGATGAGTTCTAAGCTGATAGGGAAGGCGGGGTGTCTCTGCCATTAGGATTTGAGGCACAATTTTCAAAGAAAGGAACGGTGGTAAGGGAAGAGAATGTGGTGACTAGCCCAGTGTTTATGCTGTCTCGATTTGAAGGGGGAATGTCACCTTCTTCTTCCCCAAAAGCTTTGTTCCCTTATGCTGGTGCTCAGGCGGTGGTTTTAGGTTGCAAACAGGGGAACTTGATTTGGTTTGTCCTTGTTTTTTCCTTGGTGCATGCAGGCCATCGTCTCTGCTCGTCTTTGGTGCTACAAGTAGTGCTAGTGTTGCTGGGTAGAATGTATCCTCTTAAGCACTGTCGTGCAGCTAGGAAGAATCGTTCACATCTAAGGCCTTCTTTTGATTCTTTAGAGATCGATCATCTGGCTATTGTGGTGGTTTAGGAGGTTGAAGAGAAGACGGTCTTGGAAGAAGGGGAATTTGTGCTTGAGGCTATAGAAGATCATGGAGGAGATAGCTCTGTTGCTGAGGATTTGGCTCAGGTTAGCTTTGGTGGAAGTGGATGACACCCCCCCACTCAATGTTATTCGATAGGAGGATAGGCCTCTTTTACTTCATTTGATTGTTGAAAATCCTCGTGTTTCAGTTTATGAGGTAATGCCAGTGCAGGTGAATCCAGAGGGGGAGGTTCAAGAGAACCCGGAAGGCACATGGTCGCCTTAATAGTGACCGATAGTGGTGTGGACTTTGACGTTCCGATTGGGGTGGTTTTTAAAGAAATAATTGATAAGAAGAAGGCGGAAAAAAAAGGAGAAGCAAGTCGATGGGAAGGAGCATTTGAGTGTTAATGGGAAGACTCCTATCAAAGATGGGAAAGATGAAGTCCAAAGGTAAAAGCTTTGTGAAGGGTTCAAGATCCTTTGCGAGGCTGCTGGCTTGGGGATTTCTACCTGCTGATGTTGCTGTTAAAGGAGTTATTATTCCAGATGAGATGGTAGTGGAAGTGAGCTCAAGACTGTCTTCATCCTCAAAATCGTCAGCTGTGGAAGAGATATTGGATGAGGCCACGAGGGAAGCGTTGCTCTTGGAAGAAGTTTATTTCGATACGACCCAACCCAGGTTCATCTTTTTTTAAATGACTATTATTTCATGGAAGGTAAGAGGCTTGGGCGACCTCAAGTCACTATTCAACGTCTACGGCGAAAATGAATAATATTTTCACCCATAAATCCTTAAAATTTGAAATTAAAAATTTATTTTTTAAGATATTTTAAGGAACCTGCATATGTATGGTATGAGTAGGCTGACTCACAGAAACCCCATCCAAAGATACATACAACAAGTTGGGGTGTAGAGGGAACATCATCACATCCAGATCCAGATCCAGGGGACACATATCGAGTACTCTCTATGTTAAAAGTGTGAACACGTAAGAGAAGGGCATTGGAAGGGTAGCACTAATAATGCTTTTGAGACAATGTGGGTTTGTTGCAACCTTTTTATACTTGATCGATGGCATCTTAGTAACCTTTGGCATCAAATCTTTAACCACATATGCTTTTTCTACATTACCCTGACACATATCCATTACAAATTTCAAATTTAGAGCCAATTAGGTAGGGCCGTATTGGGTTTTTATTTCCATTTAGAGATCAATATACGAGCACCACCATCCGGCTTTTGCTTTTGGTTTTTTTTTTTCTTCTAAGTTGTTCTTTTGTTCGGTAATGAACCGGATGGCCTATTTTACTTTCAAACACAAAGAGCTGTCCAACGTTCTAGCTTGTATCGTATAAAATTTTTTAGTTTTTTTTTTTGGTACGATATTCGAAATATCGGATAGCTATTGCAATCTCCCAAAACCCAGTCTATTTTTTTTTTTTTTTGTTCATTTTTCTTATTTCTCACGCTCTCTTTCCTCTCTCTCTAACCCTGACACTTCTTTCTCGTACTCTCTTTACTAACCTAAGCCCTCTCTCCGAGCGGAGCAGCCATATGAAGCCACAACTTCGTAGATTTGGGCTGTTAATAAGGTTGGTTTAACATTCACATTATTTGCGTTTCATTTTGTTAAATTTTTTTGATGGGTTTCTATATTTTTTTTTATGGAGGTTTCTATCCTTTTTTATTAACTAGTTGAGCCAATCATCAAGAAAATCTCACGTGTTGTCAAGAAAACCTCACAAATGTGTAAAGGTTGGGCGACTAATTAGCGAGCCAGAGCCAAATCTGCGAGGTCGTGGCTTGAGATGGCTGCTCTGCGGAGAGAGAACTCTGGATTGTAGAGAGAGAGGAAAGAGACTAGGGTGAGAGAAAAAAGAAATGACATGAAAAAAGGTGAATTGAGTTTGGGGGATTTCGAAAGGTTTGTCTAGTATTTCAAACATCGGATATCTAAAAACTAGAAAACTTTAACCGACACGACTTGTACAGCAATACAAATGCAGAACAACTCTTTGTGTTTGAAATTAAAATAAGCATTCATGTCCAGTATTTTCATTGCGAAATACTATAACAACTTAGAAAAAATAAAAAAGAAAAAAAAAGAAAAAGAAAGAAAGAGCCTCGGTTTGTGCTATGGGGCATCTTGGCGACCAAATGGTAATAAAACCCAATATGGTCGGTACGTATACCCCAGGCTCTTCGTAGTGGTGGATGAAACCATAAGTAAACTGAACCAATGGAAAGCAGCGGAAAATTGGAACTCATCCATAAAAATGGCAACCTCCCCTCACAATTTCACGAGTACCATCCTCTCTCTCTTGCAAGGATGCAACAGCATGAAAAAACTACAAAAGATACACACTCAAATTATCGTTAATGGCTTCGAAAACCATCTTTCTCTCTCTACAAAACTCCTCAACTTCTGTGCTGTTTCGGCAGCCGGAAGCTTATCCTACGCCCGCCTAGTCTTCTCTCACATGAAAGACCCAGGAACTCAAGCCTATAACTCCATGATAAGAGCTCTTTCTCACTCTTCTTCACCATTAGAATCTCTCTCTCTCTACAACACAATGCATAGCCACTCTCTCTCTCCTGATAATTTTACCTTCACATTTTTGCTCAAGGCCTGCGGTAGAGCAGGTGCAAAGAAAAAGTGCAGAGAGGCGCATGGAACAATTTTGAAACTTGGGTTCCTATCAAATACCATAATTCAAACCAATTTGTTGAAATCTTATGCTGACAATGAAGAGATCCAAACAGCAAGACAATTGTTCGATGAAATGATCCATAGAGATTTAGTGGCTTGGAATGCTATGATTGCATGCTATGGCCATCTTGGACTTCACTCTGATGCTTTGAAACTCTATGACATAATGAGAGATTTTGAGCAAACACCTGATGAATTCACCGTTGTTAGCCTTCTCTCTTCTTGTGCACACACTGGTGCGCTGAGTCTTGGTTCAAAATTACATGAATTTGCAGCGAGAAATGGGTTGCTTCGAAGAAATGTGTTTGTGGGTAATGCGCTGATTGATATGTATGCAAGAGCAGGAAGCATGGAAGATGCTCAGCGTGTTTTTGATCGGATGCCCATGCGTGATGCCTTCACATACAATTCCATGATCATCGGGCTAGGCATCCATGGCCATGGCCATGAAGCCATCAAGCTCTTCAGACATATGGGTTTAGCTGGACTAAAGCCAAATTCTATCACTTTTATTGGCTTGTTAAGTGGGTGCAGCCATCAAGGTCTGATCGATGAAGGGGCCGGAATTTTTGCTAGAATGAATCCAATTTTTGGGGTTCGACCTGATATTAAGCATTACAATTGCATGGTTGATTTATATGGACGAGCAGGCAAACTTGATGAGGCTCGAGAGTTGATAGAGAAAGCCTCAAATGAGTCTCACAAATCAATAGAACACGCCTCAGAGGAGGCTGATCCTGTTCTATGGCGAACGTTGCTCGGGGCTTGTAGAATTCATGGAAATTTTAAGATGGGTGAGCTTGTTTTTCAAGAACTTGTTAAGAGAAAAGCATATAATGCTGGTGATTGTGTACTTCTTGCTGGAATTTACACGTCTATCGGGAAATTTGAAGAAGCAGCAAGAATGAGGAAGATGATCAAAGACCAGGGAATCAAGACTTTGCCTGGTTGGAGCTGGATTGATGTGGCCGGGGAAGTTCGTAGGTTCATGGCCGACGATTTCTCTCACTATGATTCGGAAGAGATTCATAGAATGGTGGGGATAATGATGGAGAGGGTCCAGAGAGAAGGCTACAGAGAAGAGAACTCTATGGCTGGGGCGAAGGATACTGAGGAGGGATGGTTTGAGAGTCCTTTGTCTAATCATAGTGAGAAGTTAGCGATGGCTTTTGGGTTGTTGAGAACAGGGGAAGGATTGCCTCTCAGGATAGTGAAGAACTTGAGGGTGTGTAGGGATTGTCACACTTTAACTAAGTTTGTATCGAAAGCCTTTGGTAGAGAGATTACAGTGAGAGATCGGGTTCGTTTCCACCATTTTAGAGATGGGGTTTGCTCTTGCAAGGATTATTGGTGAATTTTGTGTCATAATATCTTATTTTTAGCTCTTATCATGGATATAATTGAGCCTAGACTGCTTTCGAAAAGGGTGGTTGAATTCTAAACATAAAGTTTAAGCATCAATGGCAAGAAGAATGGGAGTTCTAACTTTAAGGAGAAACGTGAATATATGCATGACCAAAGTATGACAAATGAACTGGAATGGTTAACTGGACATGGACATCGGGCCAGAAGCGGTTACTCGATACTAACCGGCTGAGAAAATCCCGAGTGATAAAAAGAAGTGTCAAAAAAAATAAAAAAATACAAAACAAATCTAATAAAATATTAAAAGTATAGTTGAAGCATGATTAAACAGAGCACATTCAAATGAAGTTGAAAGTTAATGAAAAAACTGGATTTTAAAGAATCGATTTGTGTCTAGGGGTATTTTGAAATTTTTCAAAAAGAAAAATATAAAAATAAATATCAATGGCCAAATGTTTTTCCAATTTTTGCTCAAATGATGAAAAATATTTAAAAATGCATTACAAACAAAATTGCTTAAATTTTTTTTTTTGAGATTTTATATAATTTTTTAAAATTTCTTTAAAATACCCTGTCGGTTCACCAAAATTAGCCAGTGCCCGGTTCCGATCTAACAAGGCAATTTCAACCGTGATACGTACATTAGGTTTTTCGTTTTGTGGTGAACATTCTTGAATGGAAAAAGTTTATATAAAAGCTCAACCTTATACTACATAGGTACATTATACTTAAAAAATCCATTAGTGAAGGTTGTTCTTAGGCTTGAAAAGCCTCAATTCAGTCATCTGGACCTCAAGATTCATTGACATGAAAAAAAAGAGGATTTCTAGTCCTAAAAATAGTTCATCTTTCACCATATTATCTGGTTCATCAATTTTTAAGATTTTCAAGTATGTATATATCTGCTTGATCATCAACATGTCTAGAACTTTAAATTTCATAATTAGGGTCAACAATAGATTTTCACATCATTGCAAGGCTTTGCGGTACCAAAACTATATTTTCGCCATAGTTTTGAGGTACACCTAGCTTCAATAGAATAAGGTTCACACCTTATACAAACCTCACCCTTCTTGAATTCTTTACCAAATCAAATAGAATAAGTTCTAATAAAATATGAAAAGTACAGTTAAAGCATGATTAAATAAAGCACATCTAAATGAAATTGAAAATAAATGGATTTTAAAGAATTGATTTGTACCTAGACGTATTTTTAAAATTTTTTAAAAAGGGAAAAATATAAAAATAAATATTAATAACCAAAACAATTTTCAATCTTTGCCAAATGATTAAAAATATTTTAAAAATTCATTACAATCAAAATCCCTATTTTATTTTATTTTTGAGATTTTATATAATTATTTTGAATTTTTTAAAACACCGGGCTGATTCACCAAAATCAGATTGTTCTTATCTAAGTCCGATTTGAATCACCTTACACTTATACAGGCGCTAGGTTATCTGTTTTTTTTGGTGAACATCCTTGAAATCTTTACATTGGCTTGGCGGTTCCGATTTGAATCACGTTACACTTATACAGACACTAGGTTATCTGTTTTTTTGGTGAACATTCTCGAAATCTTTACATTGGCTGGGCGGTTTCCGATTTGAATCACCTTACACTTATACAGACACTAGGTTATCTGTTTTTTTTGGTGAACGTTCTTGAATTCTTTAGATTGGCAAATCAAATAGAAATGAAAACCATAAAATTGATGATCTTTTGGGGACAACAGGTACGGTTTTCTTCACAGAGAATAAGAACTTAGTTCAAGTCACAGACTCGCATGAGTTGATTCAATCTACAATTGGGCGCGGCGAGTTTTTGCAGTGAAAAACTCGGTATACGCTCGAGTTTTTTCATTTGGCAAGTCAATGGTTTTTTTTGGAAGGGTGTGGTTTGTATAGCGCTTAGGCTCTAAACAATAAAAGTAAAACGCACTTTCAAGTAGTATCAAAAAATATAGTTTTAATACTGAAAATCTTTGTGATAGCCTTAAAATATTTTTTTGTCTTTAAATATAAAATTTAAAGCTTGAGATCCATTTTTTTCTGAGGTCCATACATCTTGATGTTGAGATTATCAATTTGAAGATAGATGTTCTTGTTTCATTATTATTATTATTTTTCCTTTCATTGCTTTTTTTTTTTTCTCTAGTCCTCACTGTCAAATCATGATAACTGTTATGATGTAACGTAGCATGAGTCCTGAGTTCTTCCAGTTTTCCATTACCAATATTTAATACCGTTGAGAATACTTTGAATTAAGATCGACTCGTCCTTGGGAATAAAGAGGACAATTTAATGACAGATGGTTGATTGATTGATTCCTATACCTTTATTTGATTAATTTTCAAAACATACCTTGGTGGGTTTATTCTGTTGAAAAATTGTTACTGAACTCTCATTTGGACAGCATGGGTTTCTGCAGGCAAGGTTCTTTGGGCCTTCAATGAAGCAACACATGAGACCTACCTGTCTCATTCTCTCTGTGGGAGTGGCTTGAATGGGTAGTTGTAGTTTGTTATGAAATTGGGTTTTCATATGGTTGAGATGGATGGATTGGGTTTTTTGTGTGGCCCAGATAGACGGATGTAATCAAGTTGCTTCTTGGCCCCTTTTTATTTATTTATTTATTTATTTATTATTATGTTTTGAATTTGGACACTAAGATCTTTTCCAGCCACCAAGTTGGAAGGATAATTTTGGGGTTTAATTTGAATAAAAGACTAGCCTATAAAAGAATTTTAGAAAGAGAGGTTAAAAAAAAAAGAAAAAAAAAGTCAGGGCCTGGGCCACTGTTCGTAAAGCATCTTCTGGAGAGGCGTAAGCGGATCCGATGCCCGTAAGGAAATTAATTTTTTTGAGCCAGCCTTGGTTAGTAAATATCTCGGGCTGACCGAGCCCGGCCCGGTGGCCGCCTTAACTTCAGAGCGAAATAATACGACAACGTTTGGAAAGAATAGTAACTAATAATGATATGAGCAGGTTAAGTTTAGTTTGAGAAGGGACAAACTTTAAGGTTGAGGTGGACACGTGGCCTTCCTCGTTCAAATTCCCACTATCGAACCGGAAAACTTCTTCGAAAATAGATACGTGAAGAAGAAGAGTAGGGGAAAAAATCTTTTTAATCTTCTTAAACGAACCTACGATGGGGTACCTAGGATGCAAATATATTAAATTTCGACAAAGTTTGTCATATAATGATGGACCTTGGTGTGGGGTATGGTAGACCAAAGGAGAGTTCACTCCTTTGAACATAACAATTGTTTTTTTTTTTTGATAATTAAGGGGGAAGACATTCCCTACATGAGTTAGATTTTTTAGGGTGTTAGTAGGATGATGCTATTGATAGGAATGGAAACTACGTTGTGTTGGCTGTTAGGATTTAATAACCTTATTATATGTAAAAAGAGGTATTTATCCAGCTAGAAACAAAATAGGAGAGAGCACGAGCCACAATACGAGAAATAAAGCAACATCATCATAAGAACACAAAGATTTACGTGGTTCATCCCAAGAGGGCTACATCCATGGGTATGGCAAACTGAAATTCACTATACCAAATTTACGTGGTTCACCTCAAGAGGGCTATCCATGAGTACGACAAACGGAAATTCACCATACTAGATTTACGTGGTTCACTCCAAGAGAGCTACATCTATAGGTACGGCAAACTGAAATTCATTTTACCAATAAAGTTACATTACAGATTTTGAGATATAGAGTTATCTCTATAACTCTTGACAAAACCCAGTCTACAGGAGGGACAACGTGGAATTTCTCTCCATGGGAAGCTCTCTTTTCTCTAAAGGGAGGCGGTGCTTTTGAAGCAGATGATGCCTAACCTCTCTCTTTATAGGAATCCCCCTTTCTATATGGTGACTCAAATAGGGCACACAAATTTTCTGCTCTT